TGAGTCAATTTTTACTTTTCGACTTGTCCCGCGCCTATATTAACGTTGTTGCTTTGCCTTCAATCCCGTGCACTATGAGTAAACGTTTTATTCAAATAAAGCCAATAACTTTGTACGCTCAAAGATGATTCGATAAAAACATAGTATTCGCTAAGTAGTAGTTAGTATTTTTTAGCTTGGAGATTTTTATGTGGGGTTTAGTTTGGGACGCGGAAAATAAAATCTGCTCATTGTTCAGAAAATATTTGCCGACCCGAAGCGACTGCTAGGCGTACAACAATGCCTTTATCGCAATTATTATGTTTGATTTTGTGGGGTAGCATATATGCGTGGAATTGGTGTTATTTGACCGCTCTTTCAAGTTTTATTATATCGATATTTATTCATCAAAATTAAATCAGCAAATCTTATTCATTCTTTAAAAGTTTCGATTTTGTATTTACAACGGACATTGCTTCAAAACGTACTTGTTAAAAAATTTTTATACAGGGCAAGTTTGACTACGAAAGTGTGACAAGATTGAAGTTGTTGGGACATGTGCATCAACGAAACGCTCCGACTTTACATGCCGATTTTAAAGTTTGTATATTTTACGAAATATCTATATTCGTTTCTATAATGATGAAATGTCATCTGCATACCTGGAGTACACTTTTAGTTTTTGAGTGTAATACAATTCGGTCAATGTTCCGCTGCATATAGATTAATCAGGGGTTACAGACGTCCCGACGTATTTCAAGTGTACAACTGGAAACTTGGATTTAAACACAAAAGTTGAATTAGATCATAAGCAAAATTAAAAAAATCATAAATTCCTCTTTGAGTTTTACATGTCGCAATATTTTGTAGAAATGCTCGTTTCTGTGAAAAAGAAATCACTATCAATGGTTTAACAATTCCAAAAGGTATACAGATAAATGTACCAACGTTTGGACTAGCACACGATCCTGAATATTGGGATGAACCTTACGAATTTAAACCTGAAAGGTAAAATTTTCATATTCATTAGATGAAGATAAAATTTAAGGATGCGAGTTTGTCAACCTTGGATCGCATTCCCGATCCATATCGCGTTTCATTTTTTTTTTTTTTGACATTGATTGAAAACTATATACTGGATTGATATAGCATAGGTCAAATGACCGGTCCAAACGCGATTTCATACCATGGATGTATTAGAATCTTTATTTGAAAATCGTACTGCTTGTTGTTATCAAACCCATTGAATATTTTTTGTCCCATAATTGTGCGAAATGTGTGTCAGTTATTTAAAATTGAACGCTCGTTTCGCCAATGAGAACAAAAACTCCTTGGTGTGCATATTGTAGCCAGTGATGTGTGGTAGGCACGGTTGCATGCACCGCCACAAATAATGCGATATTTTAAGGTATACAATCATGATCTTTTAATATATTCTTTACTGCTTTCCTGCGCAGTGTTGAATATCAATATTGAATGATTGTTTTCAGGATGCGGGGCATGAGCCAAATTGACCCAATGGTTTATCAGCCGTTTGGGGCAGGACCACGTAATTGTATTGGGATGAGATTTGCTTTGATGGAAATTAAAATGTCTCTAGCAAAACTTCTGCATAAATTCACTTTCAAACCTGCTGAAAATACACCGGTAAGATAAAAAAAAGAATAACTCTGAATATTGACTACTTTTAGAGAATACAATGTGTTACTGATGATGTTATGTATATACTTTTAAAAAAAATTCTCTCGCTTTTGGCGTTCATGACAGTTAACGCCTCGACATTGGTTCTCCCGCTACCCTCTCTTCTAAAAAAACATTAATATTTTTCCATCCTCATCTCCAAATTAGGTGAATTAAATATGGTTGGAATCTCGAAATTTATTTATGTGCCTTATAATGTAATTTGGTCTTTCAAAATACTATGGGGTGCAAACTATATGAGCATACTCTATCTTAGTATTTGTTTGGTATTTTGTTTCCATAATACATTAACTAACATAGACGTAGTTGAATCACTTTAAGAAAAAGAACGGTGAAAATGTTATTTTATGAATGATACCTGGGCGCTGTTTTTGATTATCAAGCCATGGCTATCGCGGGAACTTTTTTTATTCAAGAAGAGTAAATCCTTTAGCACAGTGTTTGGCGTTCCAGGATTGTATGTACCAATATGGGGGTAACTAATTTCGTTCGCCTACATCACATCAAGTTGTGTAAAGGGACTAAAACCTATGGACCCGGGGTATATTCACTTGACTAACACAAACAGTTCCCGGCCTGGTAAAGGAACTAAAAAAAAGGAAAATCCGAATAAAATCATGGCGTAGCCCTTACCTGGTACACACACTACGGGAGTACTCAGTGTTTGGCCAAACACCATTCAAATTATAAATTATTTCATTTTTCAGGCACCTCCTCTGAAGTTAGAATTTGGCATATCTGTGCGTTCTGAGGTTGATTTCAACTTAATCGCCATACCTCGTGATTCTGTTGCCACATAACTGCACTTGAGCTAATTCTGTTATTGCTTGATTGGCAGAATTTGCCGACTTTAGCTTTGTATTAAACCTAATTTCTTATTGGTATCACCATCATCATTTGTAACTCTTTACTGAACCTATATATACTATATATATGTTTTCTTACTGCAGTATAAATGTAATATTTGTTGGTGTAAACTGTGAATTTTTAAAAATGATTACGAAATCATCGTTTGGCATTGCTATCGTTTTGTTTTGCAAGGCAATTTTGCAGAATCTATGTCTTTGTTATGATTCTTTTATCCATGTTGACATGTTCTGCGACAAAGGTTCCAACAGTAGTGATAAACCGACAATGGGGCAAAAAGAATAGTACTTCCGTAGCATGTGAACCAAGATGGCGGACACCGGAACGTAATATGTGTACCAGGTTAGGGTTATGAATAATTTCAGGTACAAATAGTACGGGAGCTACTTGGCTATAGTCCCCGAACTGGTAATATAACCAAAATAAGGAAATTTGGAATAGAATTATAGCCTAACCTTAATTAACCTAGTACTCATACTACGTTCCGGTGTCCGCCATCTTGGTTTACATACTATAAAAACAGGTTGTACGCATTTCCAGTGTTAGGCATAGTCAGAATTCAGGACTTCTAAAAACATGACTTTAGTTAGTATTTAACAAGTAGATGACAGCCAAGAAACGAATATTTTCGAATACCAAGATTTCCAATACTCTTTCAAACTCATATTTGATTGTAAAATTTCATTGATTCCTCAAGTCCATTCAAAAATGTTTATTGTATTCTATTTTGCAAATGCACTCTAATTAGAATTGTATTTGTATATTGAGCATATCAAACCGCAAAGGCTACATAATTTTGGTAACGTATTGCTATATGCCCCGTTGCTTTTCACCTAATTGAAATGATACCACATTATCGTATAGCAACCACTAATGATCACCAACTACGAGAACAATAAAACATCATTTTCAAACGGCATATATGTGGGTATATTATTTTTAGGTTTGTTTCATAAATATGATGTTGCAGGATCAAACGACAAAGAAACTGTGTCAGCCTTTGTTTTGTCATATAAATTTTAATATCTATGCTTCATTATTTGAGAGTAGTTTTAGTGAACAACAAAAATTCCCTGCACTTGTTCTGAAAGAATTTCCCGGTCACGGCGACAAACCTACCGCACTACGCATTCAGACACCATGTGCAAATAACAGCGCGTAAAATAAAACCAGACATACACTTACATGTATGTATGTATGTATGCATATCGATACAAATGTATGGAAATACATAATACTCATTCAAACATTGCACATATAGTTATACGGAAGCACAATGAAGACATAGAGTTCTTTAGATTGGTTGGATACAAACTCACTTCCATATATGCTCATACATGAACACTGTTTTGTGCATACACTGATGATACCCATATAAACAGTAGCGTTATCATCGTGATGCAGTAATGGTTTTTCTAGCTTTCGCAAAAAATACAAAATTGCAGTTATAGGTGACATACTAACACAAATGAAGCAACGTCTATTGAAAAAGAGCGATTTTTGTCGATTATTTTTTCGGAGTTTTTAAAAAGAAATTATCATGTAATAAATCATTGTCGCATAGAAGAAATGACAAGTGTTCCAAAAGCATCAAGTCTGTTGCGGTCATGGTAGATTGTTTACTTCTTACCCCTAAAACATAGACAAATCATGGCTGATGGTGAGGTGTAAGAAATTTCATCATTGTCGCATATAGAAGAAATGGCAAGTGTTCCAAAAGCATCAAGTCTGTTGCGGTGCTAGTAGATTTTTCACCGCGTACCCCCAATGCATAACACAAAACATGGCTAATGGTGAGGAGTGTTACGTTGGCGACAGTTGAGTGCATGGTGACCGGTTCTGGATGTATCCGATAAGACTCAATTTTTCCTGCATTTGGATGGCCCAGGTAGCGGATATGTTTTGATCGACCGATGAATGTCTTCCGGGCCTTACGTGACATCGCACAAGGCCATGGCTGCCACTCTACATGTTTTATAGCTATAGATCTAGATGTTGTTGTTTTTTCAAAATCTAGATGTAAAATTTGGAGCTTAGATATTAGCTACCAAATCTAGATTATTTTACTAGGTTTAAATATTATTCAGTGGGAAATAGATAAAGAGATGTGTATAATACTGTAATAGATGAATGGATCATATTTCATTATTTAGAAGTATTGATGTAAGATTGATTGAAACTCATTTATATTGTATTCTTCCACCTATACCAAATGTAATTAAAATATTTCAACACCGAATTAAACTGGTTCAAAACATGTGGCGTTCCACAAGAATATTGTAATGCGACTAAGCGTGAGAATAACTTGTGTTGTTCAAGTTGCTTACTTCAAGATTTTGAAACTATAAAGGTATTCAAGTCTATAAGGGCTATTGGATTTTGTCTCGCTTTAAACATCAATCCTTCTAAAAAAGATTGGCTTGAAGACTTTAAGAAATGGATTGTCCCTGCAGATGATAAAAACAAGGCCTTTTGTAAGTTCTGCAGGTAGGAATTGAATTCTCGGTTATGATGTTAGCTTCTTCGACATCTAATATTACTGAATTATGTAATATAATAAACTTTGTATGCTCCTATTTTGTTTATTTTCATTAAGTTTAATGACTTTATATCAGATGTATAGAATAAAACATGCAGAATAAATTATGAAATACACGTAAGCAAGTACACCGTTGAAATCCAAATTGCGACTCCAACTAGAACGGTAAAAACAAACGCAAGCAACTCTTTAGCAAAAGTTTTCGTATTAAACGTTGCATGAAAATATCATATGGAAAATTAATTGGGCTACAACCGTTTTCAGACAAATAACATGCGGTATTAGCAATAATGGGTTAAAAGGAATCATGTGGAGATCCCTTGAAGATCCTTCCCCAAAGCATACCTAACGCAATTATAATATTGGATCATATGAAGATCTTCCCCTGAACTGACTTTAAACTTTAAATTATCGGAATCCATAGTAACAATCCTTGTGTAGTTGCTGCATAAAATTCTTATTCTAACGTTGTTTAGCGTATTTTGGAATATTTAGTGAGTGTACAGTTTATGACAAAAACTAATTGATCCGCAATTGAATGTTCAACAAAAATACTTAGCTGTGAGGCTCAAGTCATTTCTCATGCTTTCGCCATCAGATTATCAATGTATGTTACCATTTTCAATAGAAGTAAATTCTAGATATAAGGACAAGAAAGTGATTGAGTCGATAGAATTGTAAGATAAGCTGACTTGAAATTGCAATAAGATTAATTACATTTTTTGGTTAGAGGAAAGGTGCTAACGAGATGGCGAACATATCAATGCAATGTATACATATGTAATAACATATATGTGGGTACATATTCGTTAATTAACGTGCTCCATATAAAAGTATAATATGTGTTTACAATTCTTAGTGAGGCAAGCATTGGAATTTTCTAACAATCACGAGACATTTACCGGTAAGGTTCCATGTTGCGATATTTCAACAACGTTACTTATCATTTTAACCGAAATGCTGTTTACACTCAGCGACCAGTTTGCAACACAGTGGCGCAACATGAATGATCTCATGTAATGACGTATTTTACTAATGGCGCAATACCTGCCGCGTTGAAAATTAATAATCTTGATGCCAACGTTGCTATAAAAGGAAATTGGAGCGAAACGTAGAAGAGGAGAATTGTCAGCTAAAACGGCTACGTCACAATACACTTCCATAAATAATAGTTTGGTTTGTTTCATTTCAATACTAATAAAATGTGTAGGATAGGCTAGATTGTAGCTTTTATTTTCACTACCGGGTTGTTTAAGAAATTATGCCTTTGTCATATAAAGTGATTAACTCGTGAAATAAATCGACATCGCAATTTACGAAAGTAAGCATGCTCATGGACTGAATACTTCCATACGGTGACCGTACATTTGAACCCATGTACATTTGAACCCATGCGTATATCAACGGGTTCAATCTATATGCGGGTGCTAAAACCCATGGGTTAGGGTTAGTATGGGTTTAACTATCCGTGAAACGAAAAAAAATTCCATAGGTGCAATAGCATACAGGTGCAATTGTTATGGGTTCAAATGTACGTGGGTTCAAATGTAATGGAACCCTTCCATACATCAATGATTAGCGATGTAAATTAGCATCATTCATAGCTTGTTAATATATTGTAGTATAAATTTCTATGCTAATATCATGCTTAGTTTTGTATGCTAATTTCTCCGGCCTGAACAATTAGGGGTTAATTGTACATAAAATGAATCTATAAATATAGTTAATATTGTGCATTTTTTAGAAAGTTTCTGAGCTCGACTCGCGCATGTGCTGAGTGTGTGTGTGCGATGCGCAAGTTTTCATCGGGAAAGTTTCCACGCTATTGAGTCAGACCGAAGGATACACGCCGCTAAATCGATAAGTCAGCGATCTCTGATCGCTATCTTGTATTGTTTAATTGTTGAACGGAGAGCAATATGAAATTTATTCGTAAAATAATTCTCACTTACTTGTAATTATTTATTCTTGCGTTACTATGGTGTTTGATCAATTTTCAGATATAATTCAATGGTGACCAACTCGCCGATCACCACGTCTCGAGTAGTCGATCGCGTCTGATGTTGAGTAAACTTAATAACATACTCCAAAAAAATGCTTTGAACCAGTTTCACTCAGCTCCCGTCGTGTGTTTTAAAACAGAAGGAATACATTACTGTAGATGCGCAAAATACGATATACACATGCAGTATTTGAGTCTTGGCACGTCCGATAGGATAGACCGCAGGGCTACTCAACTATTTTATCGAAGGTCCGCAAACAAAACTTCAAAATTATTTGGGTCCGGTTTTTCCAGAAATGATATTTCGGCATCCTTAAACGAGCACTTCTTCGACCGACTAATGATTAGTAGCAAATTGAAAGTGTTTATTATGGTGTTATAGTTCTTTTCGTATACATTCAAAACTATGAAAGTCATTTTATAATAGGAAATTCAAAAAGTTGGGCTAATGATCCAAAATAAATAATTTGGTGCGGTCCAAATCCAATACTCGAAAGGTCCGGATTCGGACCGCAGTCCGCCAGTTGAGTAGCCCTGGGATAGAGCATATTATTACGTAAAAATGAAAGTTTCATAGGAATAAACGTCTTGACTGACAAACAATCCTACAATAGCCTCTTCAGTAGCCTGTGTAAAAGTTATTGTCTCACTCCAAGAGTGTGTGATAAATTTTATTCGCAACGGTAGCAGTGGCAAATTAGATAGGCTACTGAAGTTTAATCAGTCAAAATCAGGCAGGCCTTGGATCTGATTCTGAATTGTACGATTTGAATGAATCTTAAATAAATGATGAAACATTTCTTCCGGTACAATTACATAAACAAGTTAACAAATAAATGGAGCATATAAAATACAAACATGGTCGTATTTCACGGCAATGGATGATAAATGCGTCAGCAGATAATGTGGCTACCTTATACTTTTTCCTTATAAGGGCCAGACAAATGAAAGCGTAAATAATGTATTGCGACAGTTCTCGCTGCTTCAATAGATAATATTAGTTTAGGACGATAAGCAAACAAGTCAGAAAGCAGTGACAGGCTAGTATGAAGGTCTTTGATGCTATTTCCGTATTTTAAGGAAGTCAGCGTTTGCAATATTCACGTAGTAAGCTTCTTTCTGCGAAACGTGAATTTCAATATATATAATGCTAGTCATTTACCAATCGCTGCAATTTTTATATAAATACCAGTGTGTAATACAAGATAGCTATTGTTTGTCAAACAGTGAAAATGCTATACGTATTCTAAGAGGATGAAAGCTATATAGATACGCAGGAATAACCCAATGATTTCTAAACGTATAATATCTATCTTCATATCTTTCATCGTGCACTTTTGCCACGCATAAGATGTATGCGGACAAACACAGCAGCATTTTCTTTTTCAATCGTAAAGTATTCTGAAGGAGAAGGTAGACAGTTCGATATATTTGACTTAATTTTTCCTTAACCTGACAGATAACATCGATACTATTGAGTTGATAAAACTGTGTGTATGATGATAACTCCGTTGGACATCTTATCAATTGAATCGTGGCTTCTGATTGCAAGCATAGCTTTACTTATCAGGTTGGTGCAAAGTAGACCGAGTAAGTGTATATAAATTACCTTTAGAATGGGTCTATAGCGCTTTTACCTTTTGACATTGGCGTTCGACTGAATGATTTCCACGAGGATAATCGATTGCAATAAGGCCAATCAGGCATTTATAAACAGAATTGGCGAATGTGAATCGTACCAAAAAAAACGCAGTTCGGGTCTGCGCAAACCAACCACATAGCATTTACATACCATTGCGGACAATTAGAGTTGTAGTTTATAGTCAAAGCACATTTAAAAAAAGCCTTCCACTTCCAGGTATTATTTGAATCGAAAATGGAGCTATTTTGAAAAACTCAACATTCCCTATGATCCACCATCTTTCTTCAAACTTGGAAGCCTCTTGACTGCTTTCAGCAAAGATGTGAGATAAAATATTATAAATACCTCTTTATTCAGAAAAATTATCGGAAAACTTTTCATAAATTGGTAGCTTGTCATTATTTTTTCGTTTTTTTCAGTTTATATATTAGGTAGAAAAAAAATTTGTAACAGCATTGAACAATGTTTATATGAAATCAATTTGTCCAAATGTAATCTAATAACGTTGCCGTTTTTTCTACTTTTGTTTGGACATTATGCAGGAATACAGTGTAACTTTACATTTCTATCCCTTTCTTTATTGGCAGAACAATTAACTAAACTGACAAGCTTAGGTATGATTTTTACAAATACCCGATTCTGGTCGAAGCTCGCATCTGAGTGCTAATGAATTTTGGTAGTCTGTCAGATTTTCTCCCTTATACCATAAATTTAAAAATAAAAATATAATATCTTCAGAAAGCATTTGAATACGACAACGACTGTAAGAAGAAGTACGGTAATATATGGGGGTAAGAATATGGTGTCTTGCTTCAATTTACCTGTGGTAGTAGTAAAATATTTCCTTTAAAAAGTAATTTAATTACCGTATTTCACATTTCCCCTACAATCTGAATAATACTAATCTGAATTAGTGTAATATTTCTAAAATTGAATAATAAGAATCGATTGAAATGGGGCATTCTGAACCCGAAACCATGCAGTTGTTTTAGCACATGGATACAATTAGGTCTTTTATCATGGTTTGCTTGCATTGATTGAAGCTTATTCATTGCCATTTTAAAATGGTTGAGAGGCACGAGGCATGACTATTCAATAATGTTATCCATTTTATATTCAATATTTCGGGTTAATCGCCATTGCACGGCTATTAAAAAACATTGTTCGGTGAATTTCGACACTCCTATTTGATTACCGGAAAAACTGTCGTGTTAATATAATGAAACACCATTTTAGGGTATTCGTAGGAGTATCACCCAGTTTAACAATCCATGATCCTGATATTTTGAGACAAATTTTCATTAAGGAGTTTCAAACATTTCCAGACAGACAGGTTAGTTTTACCATACTTCGCATACATGATATTCTGGTTGTAAAACATTTTGGAAAGTCTGTAGAATCTGCAGTGGATTTTTAGTATCTGTGATCTGAAAATTGAGTAAATTCTTATATAAATGCATCCCTAATTGTCGACGGTGACTATTTATATTAGCACTCCATCATCTTTCAATTATACATATTTTTTCTACAAGTTTGTCTTTCACTTTATCAATTTTTCGCTTATTCTATTTTTTGCCGTTCTTGGACTAAACTTGCGATGCTCACTTTGTTTCATATTGTCTTGTCACGCAATGATTACATTTATTGCACTAATTCACAAACAATTTCCACTGGGAGAGCATGATACATACAAAATGCCAGGTTCGTACAGAGTCAAAGTTTTATTTAATTATAATTTTTTATGAAAAATTCAAAACTGTCGCTAAACGTTTTAGAAAAATTTGCTTAAAATAAATGGAAAAGAATTGAACAACGGATTAACCGCAGTCCAGGGAAATCAATGGAAACGAATAAGGTATGGATCGTAAATATTGAACCATATGAAATATTAAAAAAACATCCCGAATAGGAAAGTGTCAGAAAGGAATAGTGATGAAAAATTTATTTTACTACATTTTTTTATAATCGCTGTAGGGATTAGAGATAACCGGGATACATTCATTTTTTGATAAAATAAATTTTGATTTCAAACTAAACTGCTGCTCAAAGAGTATGCAAATATGTTTTTATTATTATTGTTATAAGCTTTATTAAAATCAGTGTTGGTTGGGTAGTTGGGCAAAAGCAACACTACACAACACACTTCCGATACACTCCGAACACTTCCGATATTATCTCGCAATGTAAATATTAATGGAGCCGGGAAAAACTTTTGAAGTGAAAAATTTGATAGGCTATGATTTTAATTTATACATCAATTTTTATAAAATTCTCATTGAAGAACGACAATGACACCAACGTTTTCAACTTCAAAACTGAAGCAAATGTGTGGTATAATAGAATGGTGTGCTGGCAATACTGTTGATGCACTGAACCGAAAAGTTGAGAGTAACAATGGGGTTTTCAATTCAAAGGAGTAAGTTATACCGTGGTCTCATTCAACAAAAAATTTGCTATAATTTCTTGTTCTCGAAATAAATTGTTTGCCATTATGATAACAACATCTGAGACGCACTTCAACGAAATACTTGAATTTTATCATTGGTGCGGTTATTTATCATAAATATTCCGATATTTCCAGAATCTTTTCCCGCCTTTCATTGGATATAGTATGCTCAGCAGCATTTAGCACCAAAATTCACTCGCAAGATGACAGAGTTGAAGAGCCAGAAGCTGCAAAAAATGCCAAAAAATTGTTTTCCGGAACAATATTCAGCCCCCTGATCATATTGCTTCGTAAGTTTAATTGAAAGTTTTACATCTTTACCAACTCAGATTGCATTGTTACTCTAATCATATTCTACATATCCCACGAAATTATTTGTCGAAAGTATGAATTTCCTAACGGCATATGAAAACTTTACCAGAAGTCATACTTGGAATTATGTAGTTATTCGTGGTCGAATTCAAATAACTTTGAACGGAAATGCGCCATATTTTAGAGGATTTCATCAGTCTACTGTTATACTCAGACACGTAACTAACTTTGCATTTTTGCAAATATCCTAATCACAGGGAAGGTGTACGATTTTTCACAGGAAAAGTTTTCATTTTTATTGAAAAATAATAATATTTCGTAAATGATAAATGAATATTGATGTTGTTTCAGTTATTTTTCCATCTCTGGAAAAAATAGTTTTAAAATTCAACATTGCATTGTTTGGAAGTGGTGGGTTAGAATACTTCAAAAAACTAACACATCACCTAATAAAGCAACGAGAGGAAAATCCACATGAACATGTAAGTATTGTGTTGCTTTATTACAGACAATTTTGATGTAGCTGGAATGAAAGCAATAAATTACACATGCTTGTATAAACTTCCCCCAAAATATTGACAGTTTAGCAAATCGGGCATGTCTTGAATCAAAGTGATCACAACATGATTTTGTTGAATTTATATCTAAAATTTATGTTTTCTTCCACAGACTAGAGTAGATCTTATGCAACTGATGTTGGATGCTAGAGTATCCGAAGAAAAAATAAAAGAAGGTGCAGAAAAAGGTTGGTATCTTGTCCTATGTAAGCTTGCGCTTCAATTTTAATAATCACTTTAAAGTTGTCATATAGTTACAGTATCTATTTCTGGGTCAGGTTAGATTACATATTTGCAATTGCTGTCATATCTCTTTTCTCCGATACGGTTCTTTTGTAATAAACTTGAACATCTAGTAATAACTTTCTTTACTTTTGTTCACTTTGATACGACATTTGTCAACCTTCAGGCATGACAAATATCGAAATCGTTGGAAATTCAATTTTAATGATTTTGGCTGGTTACGAAAATACTGGAAATACAATGAGCTGGACAGCTTATAATTTAGCTCAACATCCGGAAATACAGGTCAAAGTTCAAGAGGAAATCGATGAAATGATGAAAGTTCAGGTAAAATGATTCCTACATTCATGGGTCAATTTTTACTTTCCGACTTGTCCCGCGCCTATATTAACGTTGTTTGCTTTGCCTTCAATCCCGTGCACGATGAGTAAACGGTTCATTCAAATAAAGCCAATAACTTTGTACGCTCAAAGATGATTCGATAAAAACATAGTATTCGCTAAGTAGTAGTATTTTTTAGCTTGGAGATTTATATGTGGGGTTTAGTTTGGGACGCGGAAAATAAAATCTGCTCATTGTTCAGAAAATATTTGCCGACCCGAAGCGACTGCTAAGCGTACAACAATGCCTTTATCGCAATTATTATGTTTGACTAAAATTGTGTGGAGTAGCATATACGCGTGGAATTGGTGTCATTTGACCGCACTCTCAAGTTTTATGATATTGATATCTATTCATTAAAATTAAATCAGCAAATCTTATTCATTCTTTAAAAGTTTCGATTTTGTATTTACAACGGACATTGCTTCAAAACGTCTTTGTTGAAAAATTTTTATACAGGGCAAGTTTGACTACGAAAGTGTGACAAAATTGAAGTTGTTGGACATGTGCATCAACGAAACGCTCCGACTTTACATGCCGATTTTAAAGTTTGTATATTTTACGAAATATCTATATTCGTTTCTATAATGATGAAATGTCATCTGCGTACCTGGAGTACACTTTTAGTTTTTGAGTCTAATACAATTCGGTCAATGTTCCGTTGCATATAGATTAATCAGGGGTTACAGACGTCCCGACATATTTCAAGTGTACAACTGGAAACTTGGATTTAAACACAAAAGTTGAATTAGATCATAAGCAAAATTAAAAAAATCCAAAATTCCTCTTCGAGTTTTACATGTCGCAATATTTTGTAGAAATGCTCGTTTCTGTGAAAAAGAAATCACTATCAATGGCTTAACAATTCCAAAAGGTATACCGATAAATGTACCAACGTTTGGACTAGCACATGATCCTGAATATTGGGATGAACCTTACGAATTTAAACCTGAAAGGTAAAATTTTCATATTCATTAGGTGAAGATAAATTTTAAGGATGCGAGTTTGTCGACCTTGGATCGCATTCCCGATCTACATCGCGTTTCATTTTTTTTTTTTGACATTGATTGAAATCTATATACTGGATTGATATAGCATAGGTCAAATGACCGGTCTAATCGCGATTTCATACCATGGATGTATTAAAATCTTCATTTGAAAATCGTACTGCTTGTTGTTATCAAACCCATTGAATATTTTTTGTCCCATACTGTGCGAAATGTGTGTCAATAATTCAAAATTTAACGCTCGTTTCGCCAATGAGAATAAAAACTCCGGGCACGTTGGTGTGCATATTGTAGCCAGTGATATTTTAAGGTATACAATCATGATCTTTTATTATATTCTTTACTGCTTTCCTGCGCGGTGTTGAATATCAATATTAAATGATCGTTTTCAGGATGCGGGACATGAGCCAAATTGACCCAATGGTTTATCAGCCGTTTGGGGCAGGACCACGTAATTGTATTGGGATGAGATTTGCTTTGATGGAAATTAAAATGTCTCTAGCAAAACTTCTGCATAAATTTACTTTCAAACCTGCTGAAAATACACCGGTAAGATAAAAAGGAATAGACTCTGAATATTGACTACATTTAGAGAATACAATGTGTTACTGATGATGTTATGTATATACTTTTAAAAACATTCCTTTCGCTTTTGGCGTTCATGACAGTTACCGCCTCGACATTGGTTCTCCCGCTACCCTCTCTTCTAAAAAAACAATAATATTTTTCCATCCTCATCTCCAAATTAGGTGAATTAAATATGGTTGGAATCTCGAAATTTATTTATGTGCCTTATAATGTAATTTGGTCTTTCAAAATACTATGGGGTGCAAACTATATGAGCATATTCTATCTTAGTATTTGTTTGGTATTTTTGGACGTAGTTGAATCACTTTAAGAAAAAGAACGGTGAAATATTATTTTATGAATGATATCTGGGCGCTGTTTTTTGATTTGCCATGGCTATCGCAGGAACTTTTTTTTATTCAAGAAGAGTAAATCCTTTAGCACAGTGTTTGGCGCTCCAGGATTGTATGTACCAATATGGGGGTAACTAATTTTGTTCGCCTACTCTACATCAAGTTGTGTAAAGGGACTGCAACCTATGAACCTGGGGTATATTTACTTGACTAACACAGACAGTTCCCGGCTTCGTAATAGAACTAAAAAAAGAAAAATCCGAATAAAATCATGGCGTAGCCCTTACCTGGTACACACACTACGGGAGTACTCAGTGTTTGGCCAAACACCATTCAAATTATAAATTATTTCATTTTCAGGCACCTCCTCTGAAGTTAAAATTTGGCATATCTGTGCGTTCTGAGGTTGATTTCAACTTAATCGCCATACCTCGTGATTCTGTTGCCACATAACTGCACTTGAGCTAATTCTGTTATTGCTTGATTGGCAGAATTTGCCGACTTTAGCTTTGTATTAAACCTAATTTCTTATTGGTATCACCATCATCATTTGTAACTCTTTACTGAACCTATATATACTATATATATGTTTTCTTACTGCAGTATAAATGTAATATTTGTTAGTGTAAACTGGGAATAATTAAAAATGATTACGAAATCATCGTTTGGCATTGCTATCGTTTTGTTTTGCAAGGCACTTTTGCAGAATCTATGTCTTTGTTATGATTCTTTTATCCATGTTGACATGTTCTGCGACAAAGGTTCCAACAGTAGTGATAAACCGACAATGGAGCAAAAAGAATAGTACTTCCGTAGCATGTAAACCAAGATGGCGGACACCGGAACGTAATATGTGTGCCAGGTTAGGGTTATGAATAATTTCAGGTACAAATAGTACGGGAGCTACTTGGCTATAGTCCCCGAACTGGTAATATAACCAAAATAAGGAAATTTAGAATAGAATTATAGCCTAACCTTAATTAACCTAGTACACATACTACGTTCCGGTGTCCGCCATCTTGGTTTACATACTATAAAAACAGGTTGTACGCATTTCAAGTGTTAGGCATAGTCAGAATTCAGGACTTCTAAAAACATGACTTTAGTTAGTATTTAACAAGTAGATGACAGCCAAGAAACGAATATTTTCGAATACCAAGATTTCCAATACTCTTTCAAACCCATATTTAATTGTAAAATTTCATTGATTCCTCAAGTCCATTCAAAAATGTTTATTGTATTCTATTTTGCAAATGCACTCTAATTAGAATTGTATTTGTATATTGAGCATATCAAACCGCAAAGGCTACACAATTTTGGTAACGTATTGCTATATGCCCCGTTGCTTTTCACCTAATTGAAATGATACCACATTATCGTATAGCAACCACTAATGATCACCAACTACGAGAACAATAAAACATCATTTTCAAACGGCATATATGTGGGTATATTAATTTTTAGGTTTGTTTCATAAATATGATGTTGCAGGATCAAACGACAAAGAAACTGTGTCAGCCTTTGTTTTGTCATATAAATTTTAATATCTATGCTTCATTATTTGAGAGTAGTTTTAGTGAACAACAAAAATTCCCTGCACTTGTTCTGAAAGAATTTCCCGGTCACGGCGAAAAACCTACCGCACTACGCATTCAGACACCATGTGCAAATAACAGCGCGTAAAATAAAACCAGACATACACTTACATGTATGTATGCATATCGATACAAATGTATGGAAATACATAATACTCATTCAAACATTGCACATATAGTTATACGGAAGCACAATGAAGACATAGAGTTCTTTAAATTGGTTGGATACAAACTCACTTCCATATATGCTCATACATGAACACTGTTTTGTGCATACACTGATGATACCCATATAAACAGTAGCGTTATCATCGTGATGCAGTAATGGTTTTTCTAGCTTTCGCAAAAAATACAAAATTGCAGTTATAGGTGACATACTAACACAAATGAAGCAACGTCTATTGAAAAAGAGCGATTTTTGTCGATTATTTTTTCGGAGTTTTTAAAATGAAATTACCATGTAATAAATCATTGTCGCATAGAAGAAATGACAAGTGTTCCAAAAGCATCAAGTCTGTTGCGGTCATAGTAGATTGTTTACTTCTTACCCCTAAAACATAGACAAATCATGGCTGATGGTGAGGTGTAAGAAATTTCATCATTGTCGCATATAGAAGAAATGGCAAGTGTTCCAAAAGCATCAAGTCTGTTGCGGTGCTAGTAGATTTTTCACCGCGTACCCCCAATGCATAACACAAAACATGGCTAATGGTGAGGTGTGTTACGTTGGCGACAGTTGAGTGCATGGTGACCGGCTCTGGATGTATCCGATAAGACTCAATTTTTCCTGCATTTGGATGGCCCAGGTAGCGGATATGTTTTGATCGACCGATGAATGTCTTCCGGGCCTTACGTGACAGCGCACAAGGCCAGGGCTGCCACGCTAGATGTTTTTCAGCTATAGATCTAGATGTTGTTGTTTTTTCAAAATTTGGAGCCTAGATGTTAGCTACCAAATCTAGATTATTTTACTAGGTTTTAAATATTATTCAGTGGGAAATAGATAAAGAGATGTGTATAATACTGTAATAGGTGAATGAATAATATTTCATTATTTAGAAGTATTGATGTAAGATTGATTGAAACTCATTTATATTGTATTCTTCCACCTATACCAAATGTAATTAAAATATTTCAACACCGAATTAAACTGGTTCAAAACATGTGGCGTTTCAATTAACGTTAAATAGAAAGAATATTGTATTGCGACCAAGAGTGAGAATAACTTGTGTTGTTCAAGTTGCTTACTCCAAGATTTTAAAACTATAAAGGTATTCAAATCTATAAGGGCTATTGGATTTTGCTCGCTTTAAACGTCAATCCTTCTAAAAAAGATTGGCTTGAAGACTTTAAGGAATGGATTGTCCCTGCAGATGATAAAAACAAGGCCTTTTGTAAGTTCTGCAGGTGGGAATTGAATTCTCGGTTATGATGTTAGCTTCTTCGACATCTAATATTACTGTATTATGTAATATAATAAACTTTGTATGCTCTTATTTCGTTTATTTTCATTAAATTTAATGACTTTATTTCAGATGTATAGATGTTTTGATTTTAAATCTAGATGTTTTTTGAAGTCAATCTAGATCAGGGTCGTCCAACCTTTTCGGCTGAAAGGCCACATGTAGTTTACTAATAAGTGCACGGGCCACTTAACATGGTAATTATGTTTTAGTTTTGGTACACTGACTACAGGTTATTGAAAAAACAAACAATACCTTCACGCCATAATTAAAAATATTAGAACAATAAAAACTGTTGTTTCCCAACTATAGGCCGCCATCAGTGGTTATTCCCGAAATTTCGCCAAAGACAAGCCAAGACGCTTGAACGATTTTCATCCCAGCTATCAAAAAATCCATGCCCATAGTCGTGCCCACAATTGGGACAGTGACTGCGAGCTGTTCGGTAATTTCAAAATCATCATTAATTAACTCATCGCATGATGAGCAGTAGACTTGTCAGTGCTTTCGTCGAGCGCCAAGGAATACGATGAAAACTCTCCCGCTCTTGCAATTAAATTTCTGCTATAGAATTCCCAAGCTCTTCGACGCGGCGAGAACCGTCTGTCTTGATAGGCATATTTTTGCAAACGCCTTTTTTATTTCCGAACAGAAAACATTGACAACCCCAACAATACATTGCTTTAACGAATTCTCAATTTGAGAATGGCTGCGATTAATTCTGCCTCGAAGTAGCTCGCTTTTATGTATGTAATATGGATTTTATGTATGTATGTAGCGACTATGGCACCTTTATGTATCGATATCTTTTCCCATTTGGTTTCGATTCAAAATGGCACTCGGGGCTCGTTTAGAAGGGCTGGCAAAGCGCATTTCAGGAAAAAAACAAATCGTTTATTTCACATCTTTGCATACTTTCATCACTCGGATAATAGTTATATTCAATTTTTTTTATTCAATTCCTAAAAGTACAGCGCGGGCCACTCGAAATGCTTCTGCGGGCCACGGGTTGGACGACCCTGATCTAGATGTTTTCAGTGAGGCGAAAGTGGCAGCCTTGCACAAGGCACTAGTTTATTAAATATGTGAGTGAGAGGCTGACAAGACTGTAAAGGCTTCTCTGTTACGTAATTATGTGTCGCTACCTTTGACCAATTTATTTCGTATGCGCATGATGTAAAGTGTAAATACACGTACACACAGACGCTTATGCGCCCAACTGTTAACTGTAGGCTTCAATTCACGAAATTATGCATGTATATATGAAAATCGGAATACTATTTATCTGTATGCACTATTGTTTTCGAAAAAATTGTTCATAAGATCTGATTATAAAGATTGATAAACTGAAATTTTAGAAACATACGTTGAAATCTCGGCACGCTCAGACATGACGATATATTGTTTTATGAATGAGATATAATACGATTTTATTAAACTTTTAATTACCGTAGATTACACAATATTTCCAATCAATTCCATTCGTCCCAACACTTCATAGTAATCCCTAAACGTTTATGCGTAATATTCTAATTTTCAAGACACAAGCTATGCTATTTAATGTGTTTTGATGAATTGCACAAATAGCACCAAAGGTCATATTTTACTACCATGCTGAATGAAGGTGAATAAGAGATATTGACGGAAACATGATTACGTCACTCTCTTTCCTCCGATCTGATAAATATGCACGTGTTTGCTATCATACGAGGCAGAACGTCGTGAGTGGTACTGCGATAAGTTCGTGGGCTCAGCACACATACGAACCAGAAAAGTGTTTTTGTGGTTTGATCTCTGTAATTTTAAACTGCTCGAAGGCAGCCAGTACACTTTTGTACTTTTATTATTATGAAAATACACTTTTGCTACGTATAATTAGACCAAATTTCAACGAAATGTTCGATTGAACCAGCAAATATATCAAAATCTGCAGGTCAGCAGAGAACCAATACTCATGATGTACCCATTCAACTGCAAATAGTACCGACATTTTTGAGATTTATTTGATACGATTGCAGATGACTTCCATAACGTGCCATCGGGCGTGTAAACCCCATTCTACTATATTTGACTTATTTTTTACGTTACAGATTCACTGGAATATTATAGATAAGTTGAAAAACTCTGTGCACGATGATAACTCCTCTGGATATTTTATCAATCGAAACATGGCTTCTGATAGCAAGCGTGGTATTGCTAATCAGGTTAGTACTCAGAACCTCATTGTATAATTTAGATCGACAGAAGTAATGCATCGGAAGTGTTCTCAAGTACTAAATTACTTGCTTTTTGTTACAACCGGAGAATAATTCGATTCCGACAATTTTAGGGATTTGCGAGGACCACGGAAAGTTAACAAATGTCATAACAAAGTTATACAATACAGCAAAGCAATCCTGCTCGCATACTCACATGAGAGTGAATCGTTTTTGATTCGCGGAGGCTGGTGAATTGTATCAATCCGAGTAACCCATATTGTAAACGAATCGAAGTAGCTTATGGCCGTTATGCCTATTTTATGTTCAGGTATTATTTGAACTACAAATGGAGTTACTTCGAAAGACTCAATATTCCTTACGAAACACCATCTGTAAGAGAAATTGGAAGCATGCGAACTGCCTTTAGTAGAGATGTACGTTTTTGTTTATGACGCGAATTAAAAATAATATATGAAAGCAATGTATAAAGAAGAAGTGCGAAACTGGTGTTTCATGATATTTCAAATTTTAACGGATCTTATTTACTTTAAATGATACAATTTTTTATTGAAAGATTTACCCTACTCTCGTTTGTAACAAGCTCCTGCACAAGTGGGCCATGCACAAGCACCTGAGATTTTATAGTAATTGAAATCCCAGATGGATTCTGATCGTGGCTTATTTAGACCATTGGGCGAAACACAGTTCAAGCCTCCCCGTGTAACGGCGGAAGCATCTTTTTTTTATGAATGGCCCACTTTACTATAAATGAGATACATATAATGAGTTATGTATATATACATCGCATAAATATTATTTTCAGAAAGCGTTTGACTTCGATAACGAATGTAAGAAGAAGCACGGTAATATATGGGGGTAAGAATATTTTCTATATAGGATTTGTAACAAAAAACAGAGTGCAACGAAACTGCATGTAAAAATATTGTTTTAAAACGTAACGTTCGAAGTCAGAACCTACATTAAGCGAAGCTTGTCATGATTCAGAAGCGTTTAATTATGCAAAGTTTTACTGTTTGATATTTTGATTCAATACATTTCATATGTTTGATTTAATATGGTTTGGTGTATCCAGCGCCTGTAGGCTAGTGATCAGTTTACACTGAACAAATTTGCGTATATATGATTGATTTGCGTACCCTGGGTTTCTTGGTAACTTCTCTACGTTTGATTTTGCTTTTCGAGTAGTATTCCAACAGGGGAATTATTATTCATTTCAACCTTTTTTTTTCGTAGAATGTCAGCATTTGTACAGCATGTCAGATTAAATTACATTCGAAGATTCAAAAATTATAGACAAAATCTAAACTAAATCTTATTGCTTCTTTAGTGTTATTCTTACGGTCCGCCCAAATTTCTACTGATGCCCAATCATACCCATCACCCGTCTAGAATTTGGGAACTCGCGCTAAACTGGCGTTTCCAATTCACCACCGAGTGAAATACTTTAATTTGCAAGAATCGTAAATCTTACTGTATTACTTACAGGTGAGAATTCTATTTATCAGATAATTTTAATATATTTCCAATAATATTTACCGAGAAATTAATACGATAAAATGCCTTTCAGGCTTTTTGCAGGACTGTCACCCTGTATAACAATACATGATCCTGATATTTTGAGACAAATTTTCATCAAAGAATTCTCAACATTTCCAGATAGAAAGGCGAGTCCAATTTCAAATTGCATGTAAATCGCACATATTGATATCCTAGACTTAGAGTAAGAAAGACATCTGAATATGAAAAATATCACGAAGTACATGTACACAGCAGTACCACTTTTAATAATGATAAATCTACCAAAAGAAAAGAAAACTCTCATTTTGTAGTGTACATTGATTATGTAAGATTAATTGTATGGATAGATGCTTATAATGTTGAATGAGTCTTTTCTGAAAAAAGCTTTAATTCTTTGTTCAAAATAATTTTAAATCACTCAAAGCGATGACAGAACCTTGAAGATTAGCCACTGTGATTTTATTTTAATGGAAACGTCTTCACAGTCAATTTCCTTAAACGTTTTGTTTTGTTATAGAAATATTTTAAATTGATTCGATAATCCTCACACGCACAGTATCCTATTCACATTTCGCTTAAACCTATTGCTTTACCTTTTAGAAAACACTAAGCAAAATAAGCGGAAAAGAAATGAACAGCGGACTGTCTAACTTGCATGGTAAACAATGGAAACGAGTAAGGTCAGATTATAAAATTTTGAACTAATGTCAGATGCAGAAGATTGCCCGTTACTACTATGGAATCTTATCTAGAAAATGGATTGTTCAGCTTCTTACAATATCATTATTTCTACAGATCGACTATGACACCGACGTTTTCCTCTTCAAAACTGAAGCAAATGTGTGGTATAATCGACTGGTGTGCCGGCAATACTGTTGATGCACTCAATAGAAAAATCGAGAATAACAACGGGGTGTTTAATTCAAAAGAGTAAATAATTTACGTATTGAAAATGTTTTCCGACTCAATCTACTTTACTTTATATTTTGATATTTCAGATTTTTGACGAGAAAAACCGATAATTTTGTGTGCTTGACATTCATTAACCGTTCTGATTGCTGATACATTCAAGTAAATTTAAAAAACATTTCAGAATCTTTTCTCGTCTTTCATTGGATATAGTATGCTCAGCAGCATTCAGCACGAACGCTCATTCACAAGATGACAGAGTAGAAGAGCCAGAAATTTCAAAACATGCCAAGAGAATGTTTTCCGGAAATTTACGAAGCCCGTTGCTATTTTTGCTATGTAAGTGAAGCCTGATGGTAACAAAATTTGACTATTGAGGTTTTCTTTTCACAGCATATGAGTAATGATGACCTCTTAATTATAGGCAAAAACTATAAATTGTGATTAGGTGGACTGTGGATTTACGCCGGAGTATATGTTTCATGAGCACTAACTCGATCGGGTTTAAATTATTTTTTTCTGGTTATTCAGCAATACCAATTTTGGGTGGTATAGTTCAAGTTAACATGCATATAATATGCTTTACATATTATTTTTCAGTTATTTTTCCACAACTTGAAAAACTTGTTGAAAAATTTAATTATTCAATATTTAATAAAGAAGGTTTGAACTACTTTAAAAAGCTATCACATCACGTGATAAAGCAACGACAGGAAAATCCACACGGACAAGTAAATATTATATTTTATATGCGTGTTCACCTTTAAAAGATATTTACCCCGCGATGCCATTGTACGCCCTTACTATGGGTAGTAGTTTAGTAGAATTGTACAGCGGGGAATCGAAACACCAGACCCCGGTAATACGCTGGAACAGGGGTGTGCAATTTTTACTACAAGAGGGCCGGATACAAATTACTGGGTGAAACCGCGGATCGCACCTTCAATTAACATTGACTTTTTAGTAGTTACAGGTACAAAAAATAGTTGTTTTTTTTGTATTGATTTAATGGCATTATTAGGGGATCTTGCAGAAATGATGAGTTAAGACGCATAAATTTCTGAAAAAACGGCTATTCAAATCTATTGTCACACCGACTTTTAAACGAATTCAGTAAAGAAATTGCAGATAGTTTCTTTTCCCGACTACATTTTCCAAATTTGATTTTAAATAAATGCTAGCAATTCGATGTCCATTTTCCGAATGTTTGTCTGTCAGAACCAATCAATAAGCAGATTTCATGACGCCCACTTTAGAAAAAAAATTGTTAACGCAAATATGTTGTAATGCAAAGGGATTGGAATAGTTCTCCGGTACCAGATTAAACTAAATTATAGGAAATCGTTTCAATCTTCATTTAGAATTGGCCCTTCTCCGCGGGCTGCAATTTTTTTTCTTGTGGGACGCATTTGTCCCGTGGGCCGCAGGTTGCACACTCCTGCTTTAGAAAGCACATAACTTCTGTGCAATGCGTCCTGGATTGCTTAAACTCGTGGGTACGATCATACACAAACCGAAGTTCACCTGTTTAATAAAGTTTCTACATTTTCGTAGACGTGATTGCAAAATTTATGAATTCTGTTTCTTCTATTTGTGATGACCAGATATGACTGACTAGTTTGGTGAATGAACGGTATAACGGCATTACTGCCTTTCCGTTTTAGTAGATCAATCGCGCTTCATAATTTATTGTTTGCAAAATTAGGTATTTGAATCTAAATTTAAATTCATTTCATTCAAACAAACAGACACGAGTAGATCTCATGCAATTGATGTTAGATTCTGAGGTATCGAAAGATAAAATAAAAGAAGGTTCAGAAAAAGGTAATGAAATTTATTATTCGACGCGGATGTTTTCATGTGGTTGAGATCGCGATCGCATACCAAAGTGGAACCCATTTTTTATTATATTAGAACACTTTACATCTTCATACAATATCAGTCTCAAATCTTTTATAACTGTAACGTAATGTTGCTGACATTGCTGTAGACATTTGCCCTCTGTATGTATATATTTGAATTATGTTCTCTTGTTTATATATGAGTACCATTGAAGTGATAAGGTAACTTTTCACATGGTTCTAACATAATGAATAATTTAGTCTGATTTGATAACAATGATTAGTACTTTTGTAAGAAAATTAAATGTACATTATATTGGAAAATTATCGCCAGTAGAGTCGATGATGTTGCCGACAATCTTTTTCTGAAGTAGATGAATGAACATTTTTTGTTGTCATTTATCGGCGGTTAATTGTTACTGTTAAACTTTGTTATTTATTTGATACCGATTTTTAATTAAGAAATTTTTGCAATGTGGCATATAGCTTCCAATTATCTTGTCTTTATTAAATAACATTCAATACATTTCTTGATTTGATACTGTACTTTGATACAGGAATGACAAAAGCAGAAATTGTCGGAAATTCAATGTTAATGATATTGGCCGGATACGAAAATACAGGAAATGTAATGAGCTGGACAGCCTATAATTTTGCTCAGCATCCGGATATACAGGTCAAAGTTCAAGAAGAAATTGATGAAATGATGAAAATCCATGTAAATATGAATATTGAAATATCAATTTCAATTTTCGGCTTCTTTCTATAGTATCACACTGGAATTTCATTTGATTTAATGAATCAAAGCGTTGTCTGTATTTTCCATTGCGTCTCGGGAACTAAAGCAAACATTTTGTTCAAATAAAGCTGATGACTTCGCAAATGTCACAAAAATTTAATTGATTTTGCGATGAATCAGTCACTATGTACTAGAGTACGTTTGAATAATGAACAAAGAGTCATAGGTGTGTGAAAAAACTTACTAGGTGTGTGTAAAAATGTGTTTCATTGCGCATGGAGTGCAAAAAGTTTCGCTTTAATCTCAAAATACACAATTTCTTAGAAATTATCAGACAGAAAGTATTGAGAAAGATATACCATAGCTTCAATTGTGCTTGAACGTAATTTTTACGTTTTCCCGCCATCGTTGAAATTTAATAATATTATCTCCATACAGGGCAAATTTGACTACCAAAGTGTGACTAACCTGAAGTTCTTGGATATGTGTATCAACGAAACACTCAGACTTTACATGCCGATTTTAAAGTACAGTATGATTTGACAGAATAGAATTATTCGTTTCATCAGAACATGAAAAACTAGAATAATCAGAATACAAAATTTAAATATATTTCCAATTGGTTAATTAATGTAATTCTACAAGAAACTTTAAAATTTGAACTTACTGATTGTCATGTTTCATTCAATGATATTTTTTTTTAGGAATGCTCGAGTCTGTGATAACGAGATCACTATCAACGGATTAACAATTCCAAAGGGAGTGTTGATAAGTGTACCGTCGTATGGACTAGCGCACGATCCTGAATATTGGGAAGAGCCTTATAAATTCAAACCTGAAAGGTCAATTCCTCAGCTTGATGAATAAAAATACTTATCGATGCTAGTGTGTTGACAATCACTTTGAGTCGTATTATACTGTTTTCGTATATATTCGATATTATTTATCATCACTTTCAGGATGCGAGACATGAACCAAATCGACCCAATGATGTTTCAGCCGTTTGGAGCGGGACCACGTAACTGTATTGGAACACGATTTGCTTTGATGGAAATCAAGATGTCCTTAGCAAAACTCCTATACTCTTTCACTTTCAAGCCTGCTGAAAACACACCGGTAAGATGAAAAGGGTGTAAAGCACAACATTGGCATAATCTGAAGAATTAAAATTAATAAGCTGAGATTAATAATGTTGTTTTTATTGTTCCAATTTTCGGACTAAAATGGATGGCGCACTAGTATATAAACACAAGTATCGTTAAATATTATTTGCGAAAACTACACCTATTCAAAATAGTATTCGGTAATCGCTTACTAGACCTTCCGTATCCACTTATAAAATAGTTTATATCTATGGTGCAATAAAAACTTATTGTCAATGGGAAATGCAAAGCATTTACAAATTCGATGTAGTTAACCGGATGTAATTTTCTTTTTTCAGAATCCTCCTCTGAAGTTTACATATGCTCTAGTTGTACGACCTGTAGTTGATTTCGACCTTGTTGCCGTACCTCGTAATTCTGTTGCGACCTAATAAAAGACTATTTAGAATCCGGCAATGGCTTCACCTAACATGATCGATTATATTTGTTTTTCGTAAATTTAAATTTCTGAAAAATCTAGTTATAAATTTAATTACATATATATATATTATCCGTTTGTGTAATTTAGTATGTTGTCAATGCTAAGTCGTGTGACTTATTGGAACAATTGATATGCGATTATGGGATAACAAAACGAACGAGATTTGCATTTGTTGTCGCCAGATTATGAATTGCATCTAAGTTGTAAAAAACCTGGTATGAAATTTTTTTATAAACTCGTATTCGTTTATTATACATACCGAGAAATTTATTGGTATAGGCAAACGCATTTACCGAAGCCGCAATGTATGAATACACATACATATACGAATAGTATAAAAATGTATTCAAGCGCACATATGTATGAGGAACAACAAATTAAACACATTCAGGTACATATTATTCACTATATTCATACATATACATGTGTGAAACAGTACAATGTGACATATTTGCACTACTTATGCATAAAGGGACATCAGCACACTTATACGGATACAAACATTGACATATTTGTAGAAGTATAGTTGGGTGGATGAAGGTTGATTTATTTTTATATATATTGCCGAAAAATTCTGAAACTTGGTCAGCACATCCGTCTGCCAACCGTCGCAACGACGGAAATGTTTTTATGCGCAAAGAAAACTCTGGAAAGATTAACATATTCACGGGTATGTCGGACTAAAAATGTGTTATGCTGCATCTCAGGATATCAAAATAAACGATGTATTTAAAAAATATTTGAAAAATTCAAAAATTACGTCCATCTTTCTCCATGGATTTTTGCAGTTGAGAACCATAGTATTGTAACAACTTCATGAGATATAATATCGCTTTCTCTATTTGTCATTTTATCTAACGAATCTGATCACACTATTGTTGTTGTCTGAAAATGCCCAAATCTGGGATCTGCTCAATATCAAGTGAATACAGTCCGGTAGCACGGAAAGATTGTACTGTATGCCTACAATTTTGTAATTTAAAGTGTATTTTGTCCAGGGCGTTTAAATATTGACTATGATGATGCATACTGACTATATCAACATTGCGGCGTTTACTTCAGCACAGGGGTGTGCAACCTTTACTACAGGAGGGTCAGATACAAGTAACTGGGTGAAGCCGCTTGCCGCACATAGAAACTCTACCTACGAAAGTCTCTGAGTACAAAAAATACAACTTACGAAAATTCTTTCTTAAAAACTTAAAAACGCGTGTATCGATATATTTTTTTTAAGTTTAGGTTAATTTGATGCAGTGTTTAAATAGGGGATGTCCAATTCGAATTTAATATTAGAATAGCGAGACCTTCAAATATTGATTGCAAATGATGTGATGCTGTGTGATACACCGAACTGGGCAGGCAATGCCGAAGTCAAATCAAGATCCCGGTTCTTTTAAAAGATAGTAGCTTTATATACCGTTGGATATCAGTGGATATCTTGATCGGACCGAAATGCGCTAATAAGGAGGGTCGTATAAAAATGTTATCAAGAGCATTACCATTGGAGCATATACCGTAGCGGTTTGTGGATCATGAATAAGTAGCTAGACAAAGACATGTAGTTTATAGTATACCGTACATAGCTTTTGACGCGTCAGTGATCGCTGGGCAGGGCGAGGCCGCCTATCTAAAAGACCTGTATTTGTATATTTTGATTTGAATTATTACTTTTGTGAGTTGAATATACATCGTTCTACGTTTATTATACCGCAAGGATACTCCAAAAATGAAATCAGGGGTTGATGGCAGCTGAAAAAAGGAGGCGATTTACTCTGATAATTTTATGCCGCTTTGTTTATTACAGAACGGTGTGAGTTATCACTGTACAATATGGTACAATTGTTTATTCTAACTTCGATATTTATTGCAACTGTGATAATATACGCGAGATCAAGATGGATATCCTTGCGTGAAGTTGATCGAAACTCTTTAAGTAAGTAGTATATTTGCGTTTCAGATCAAGCATTTCTGTAACCAAGAATAATAACGCTTTTATAACAAAATCTTACAAGTGCATGTCCGTCATCTGTAAAAATTTGATTCACGATAAATAACATTCTGTCTTCTACAGACCCAAATCTCTCGCTTTGTCTATGTGTGACATATATCGATATTCAGAGTAAAACTTCTTGCGCCCATAGATCAGTTTTGTGCAAATATAACCTCCAATATTATCTTTTAATTAAATCAATTATAATATTGGACACACATAGAACAGTTTAAATCGGAATATATATTTTATACATGAGCAAATCATTGAATGAGATACTGTACAATGTAAAACTAATGTCAAAATTGAATGACTTGTTTTACCAATTATGAGTAAATCAGTTGAATAGCGCAAATAATCTTTGAAAATAGAAAATTGCATATTCCGCACAAAGATTGGTCTCTGGCGCTAGTTTTAGCCCTTGCACAGCTTTGAATTTACAATGGAATTTGTTCACAGTAACTTGTTCAAAACAGTTTTTCAATGTTTTTACTAAACAGTTGCGAAACTCATGATCAATTCTGGAATATTACGAATCATGCGTGTAATCGGATTATCAAAACTTATGCGAGCACGTGGCTTATATTACTTCACTGCGCCCAACGGATACAAAATACCAGTGATTGATGAAGCGATGGGGGCAAATATAGAAGAAGCACGAAAGCTTAAAATAAGAGATGATGATATTTTTATTGCTACCTATCCAAAAGCAGGCAAGTACATTATTCGCACGCGACGTCGTGTCAATTTTCTGTCCTTATTCTACTTAGGGATTGCATTAGGATGATCAATGTCAAGTAGGTTGTGCAATAATTTTTACATCGCACCCCATTATTGGGTATTTTTGACAGTTCAGAAAGCAACGAATTTTGTTAATATTTCAGATGGTAATTTTTGTTTCACTATATCTGGTAACTGGATGGCGGAACCGTGTCCGGATTCAATTACAGAATCGATTCTTTGTGAAATCAATTATGATGCATTGGAATCGATTGTCGAAGTTAAAACTTGGATTGCAAACAATGTGTAACGTTTTGTGCATTCCTTCACATATATGTGTAAACTGCTTTACTGCTATGTTGAGTTGCTTCAACGCCGCAAACGTCACTATATATATATTTTGCCAGATGGATTTTACGTTTATTTATTTCTAAAATCTCTGTCTGAGGGATTCTTTTTTTGTGCGACTTTGTCCCCTGTGACAGATTGGATACCCATACTAATTAGTTTAGGCCTTCCTGTTCGTCCATATATTTGATATCAAATAGTATTGCTTAGGTGGGTATGTTTTCTCGGTAAGATATGTCGAGGAATCGAGAGTCGCAATCGAAAATTTAGGAATCGGATAAGAATCGAATACTTGATCCTTAGCATCCTTTCTTTACTGGTAACACGTTACACGATACGTACATTTTGGTCAAAGTTTCACCAGACGAATTATAACTTCGTTCAGATTAAAATGACTTTTTTATTTATCAGAATGTTAATTAGTCGACCATGTAAACATTCTGATTTCAAAAGGGTTAAAATTATCAGTTACATAGAATACGCATCATGCAGTACATAATTGCGTAAGAAAGACTCGATTCATATTTTTACTATGGTATAATATAATAAATATGCTCCAATTCTAATGAGCAATTAATGATTCCATGGTCTATTTGAGCGGCAACTCTAAACTATAATGTGTTATTGTAATGTAATGAGTTGAAATGTTGCTATTATTAAGTACAAATGAAAACTTTTAGTATCACAAAGTATGCGTTTATCCATTTTTACTTGAAGCAACGTTCTAATTCGTGTCTTTATTATTTATGTATTTTAGGTAATGAGAATTTTAATATTTTATATTTTCGTCGGAGACAATAAATTTGAATACGTTGAATTCAGATGTAAATCGGACAAATATATATCGTGTTTTGACCTCTAAACCAGTGGTTCTTAAACTGGGGAGCGCGCCCCCCTAGGGTGCGCGAGATGCTCGCTTCCACAAGGTGGAATCGAAAATTTACATGCAACGGTTCCTGAAACGGTACCGGCTTTTTCGTGTTATAATAAATTTTTCTGTCTCGAAATAACTAAAATAATTCAAAATGTCTCTCTATTTCAATTCATTTGTGTTCAAGGTAACTCGCGGTTGCGGCGACTCACGACAAAATAAACTCATTACTTATCTAAAATACCACGCCAATCCGCGGAGATTATAAAATGTTATCAACTGCCCGATTATATTTAGTTTTTATATATATTGTACTCATGCATGTTGTCATTAGAAAGATTTGGTATAATATCTCAGAAAGTATATTTAATTTAGTACAATTAAAATACATGTAAAGTATATTAGTAGATGAAAAATATGTATTCATCGAAACGAAATCCCCGCGGTACGGCTTCTGAGTCAGTCGTCGTGATTACGCCAATCGTTAAAAGAGCTGACTTTTTCAACGGATAAGTAATGGTTTTTCTGTTGAATGAAATATTCAATCCATGATTGATATACTTATTTGAAATGGTTGCTTTATTCTTTTAATTGTGATAAATTAAGTTTGCGATTGCGTCAATAAAATAAAAGCACCAGTACTCCAAAATAACACGGTAATCCGCAACCATGAAAATGTCGATTACATTTTGTTTTGATTTGTATTCTTGCCAATTTCACCAATACGAGCTGTCCCTGCAACTATTACTCCGCTCAATCGCAATGCCGCCACTCGATTAATTTCACGATATCACCGTTACCGATATTCCTAAGTCGGCGATCCCACGGAGTAAAATTTATATCAAGTCTGTAGTTTTAGAACACTACTGGTGTGCCGCACACACAAGGAATTAATGAGATTTTCTATGTCTAAGAAAGTGGTTTAAGTCTGTCGCGGTCCACCCCAAAACAAAACTCATGGCGTTTTCCGTTTTATTTTTAGTATTTTATAATGCCACTATTACAATAAAGAAATTTTTAGTTACGGATTCACTTCTTCATTCTATCTTTAGCATCTTGTCGCTGATGATTATAATAAAAACTAACTCGTTTACCTCAAGAGGTGTCCTGGTTCCATTCGAGAACAAAAAAGCAATTATAATCGTCTTCGCGGCACAAGAATATGTCAAGGAAAACTTCGGATTTAGGAAGAATAAACACCGAAATCAAGATTTTTAGGGCTTAAATAACACGCCACGCTGACGTAAACAATGGAGATTTAAACAAAATGCAATCGCCAGCGTCTTAGCGACAACAGCTGATTGAAATTTTACGTGTCTTATGTAAACGTTTAAGCAGAAAATACATTAAAGCATATGTTTATTGCTTGTTTAGTTTTGCTTAATAATTAGTTTGACATTGCCAAGTATTGCAAACTGAGCGGAAAAACGAGAATGTATAATGACCAACCATATATATAACAACTTGTCCATCACAAAAGCATTTTATCAAAGCAAAAAGAGGGGGGCGCGAAGTTTGTAAAATTTTTCAAAGGGGGGCGCGGCTCAAAAAGTTTAAGAACCACTACTCTAAACGATTGTGTAAGAGCTATTTTACCTATTTGTTCAGGAATTTACTGTGGTGAGACGGTGACATTAATCTCTGTTCTTAAAGGTTTCCATGGCATTTTTTTCTCATTTATCTGGTGATTCAGTCTCCATGGCACCAAACAAGTATTTTTGTAATTTAGGGAAATTAGTTGATCTTTCGTAAGAAGAAAACTAATATTTTTCAATTTTCAATAATTGAAAAATAACTATAAGAATTGACCATTCAAACTGCCATACAATATTATCGATCAAAAACACTATTTGTTTATTTACGAAGGTACAACCTGGATGCAGCAAATCGTATGGTTAATTCGCAACAACGCTGATACCGAAATTGATAAAGACAAGCCACTTTCATGCCGAATTCCTTTTCTTGAAACAGTAGACACTGGAGATAATGTGGCATTGGGTATACAAACGCTTGAAAAATGGCCAAAAGATAAACATAGGTAAAAATAGTTTATAATGTAGTTTAATTAATTTAGCAGTTTCTAAGAAAGCAATAATATTTTATTATGAGTTTCTATATTTCACGAACTCGCATAACTGCGAGTATCTGAATCTGACACATCTCGATAATTGAATTTTCAGGTATTGCTAAATCCAACGATGTAGTTGTTGGTAGCAATATAGTCTTCTTGGTATCGCTTCCACTTGGTCCGAGTTGACTCTGGCATTGTGACTTAGAACCTCGGCTAGATCTTACCTCACAAAGTTACGATAAATTGATTTTACGGAGAAGTTGATTTCTACATACTGTTCACAACCACAAAAATTAGGCAAATTTAGATCAATTTCTTTTCATTTGAAGCTTCACATGGCTTTAGAATAAAAGAAATGTTTACTAACTGGTCGATTATATATTGCGAAAGTTAGAAATGATATTTAAACCATATCTAAATTTTTTAAGAATAATAAAAACTCATCTTCCATATGAACTGCTTCCTGAGGAAACTCAATCTGACAAAAAATACAAGATCATTTATGTTGCACGGAATGCAAAGGATGTCTGCGTATCTTTTTACTTCTTTCATATTATGAATTTTCTGATGTTTCCCGATCCAGGAACGTGGAGTGAATTTTTAGCAAAGTACAGTACTGGAAAAGTATTGTTTGGAAGCTGGTTTTCTCATGTTCTCAAATACTGGGAGGTAGGAAAATTACTTAACAGTTTGCAAATCATTTCTGTCTATGAAATCTTGTCAAAGAAGGAATCATATTTCAAAGCATTTAAATTTCAATTAGATATTGAAACCTTGAAATGTTTATAATTAGTTTACCCATTTTCTCTCTTCTTCCATTTTAAGATTTGGTAAGGTTGCTAAAAGGTTTTCAAGAAGTTCAAAACTAATACCACGTTAAGGTGATCCCTAAATCCATTCTTTCGCATCGAATGTAAGATCAACATAGATAATGATCATCTCCTAATTTTTGTAGTTGCTTACATTTGTTTGATTTTTATAGAAATCTCAGTGCGATAAAGAACGTATCTACTTCACAACTTATGAAGCTATGAAGAAAGACTTGAAAGGTGAAATAATTGCAGTATCGAAATTTCTGGAAAAGAATCTTACGGATGAACAAGTAGATTTGATATTTACACACTGCACATTCAACAGTATGAGCAAAAATAAAGGTACAAATTACACTCATGTCAAAAATGCCTTGGATTTCAATAAGTCCAAGTTTATGAGAAAAGGTGAAGTTGGCGACTGGAAGAATTACTTTACATTGAATGAAAATGCGGATTTTGATGAGCTCTACAATGAAAAAATGAAAGATAGTGATCTTGACATCTCATTCGAACTGTAATGCGCCAATGAAAGTTGCATCTCTTCACAGTGGTCGGTCATTGATATCGAGTTATTGATAGAAAATTTCACATGTTTAATTTATACGTCCTTACATAAAGTTTTTTTTGTCATATTTGAACTAGTACTTTTGTGTGGTATTGAACTCGCTCGATCGAATTAAAAAAAATAGATTGCTAACACTTTACTGTTGACAAAGCGTTGTCTCTTTGTTTTCGAAGTCTCATTATCTTTATTTTTTGGCGCGTGCACCAACATAAATCTATATAGCTCTTGTTGTTTCAGTGTTCGTCCGTTCATTTGCTCAGAGATCAATCTTCTTTACTTCTAATTTAGTGTCTAGTGATTTGATAGCTTGACTATAGCAAGGTTTTGTGGACAAACTCGTGAATGGATTCTGTTTCAACAAAAACAGCGTTAATGAGGCGACGTTACAAAATCTCTATTTGATTTTTTTGTAGTTTTAGACTTTACCACTAGTTGCGACAGTATACATAATTGAGGCTACTGTGCAGATTATTTAAAAAATAAATATACCACTATGACGAGGGAATGCACTGAAGAAAGAAAATAGGAGGAAAACAAGAATGAATAAATAAAAACTTATAGAGAATGCAAATGTAAAACTAGAAACCAAGGAAAACCAACAATACGCACAAAATATTTCTAACAAATACAATTTTGAAGGCTCATATACAAATTCAGAAGAGGTGAAATTAACAGACTCTAATAAGGTTACAGCGAAGACTATATTGCGAACAATACCGGTACGGTATGCTATTATATATAAGTGTATAAAACTCGCAGAAAGTGAGATGAAATATGACGGAAAGAATACGGTCATAAAATTTGTGAAAAACGGTAAACATAGATAAGACTGTAGCGACGCATTGAGTATTTAGAAAGGGAATCTAATATATGAGTTTATTGAAGGCTTTGTAGTTTACATTCAAGATGAAAAATTTTTTTGCGCGTAAAAAAATAATTATAATGTTACATATTTCTAACAATACACGACCTATCGCCGAATATAGCTTAACAAGTCTTTGGGTGTGTGTTATCCAACTACACATATTGCGTAAACGTAAATTATTTTCTGCTTGTCTACAGCCTTGCTTAGAGTGAAATGTACAACGTCTCATTAATAAAGTGTGGCAGATTACCTATCGATGGAATAAAATAAGAAGTCTCTGTGTATGTGGTGCCGGTACCCATCTACACCCGTTGCGTGGATGTCCATGCGTCCACCACGAAATAATGTTACTCAGATGAGGATATTTTGAACGTTAATTCACGGAAATTGGTGTCTCGCTTGAGTTCCGAATTTACTTTGAATTCTGCGAAACGATCTGACGGGTGAACAGCGAGAGGGGCAGTTCTCACCGCCTCATAACAGCTCCTGCCACGAACGAACCGCGGCGGTCTCTTGCCATGGTTTTATGGCGCTATTATAGGTATATTCACAAAAAAGTGCGTGTTAAATATAAAATTATATAGATGCGGTCTTATACTGAATACAGCTCATACTGAGCGCAAAACAGCGCAGAAGAGTGCGAAACAGCGCAGAAGAGAGGGAAACAGCGCAGACAGTGGACAAAGAGAGCGGAACAGGAGAAAACAGATCATAATAGAATTGATTTATTTTGATTTTTCATATCATTATATTTTAACAGTGTTTTATGAATGACGAAACAAAGTATCTAAATCTGAAAACTGTAAATAATTATATGTTCGTTCAATGACTTAATTTTTATAATAAAAAAGTATTGTATGTATAGTTGACTCATGCTAACGCGCCTCATACAAAAGTTTAGATCTATATTGTACGAGTAATTTGTGTCTGTTTGTCAGAAAGGCATATAAATGTCAAAAAATGCTTTTTTTAGGACTTTAAGTAAATGCATTCGATTTTAAATGGTTTCACATACACCTGTCGTTTTCAAGCTATCGCCGTTCGATAGGTCATCATTTAGATTTTACATTCTTCAAATAGCCCTCCGGTCTTACTACTTACTGAATACAGCGCATACTGCGCAGAACAGAGGGAAACAGCGTAGAACAAAGGGAAGCAGCGCAGAACAGGCAAAATTCTTCAATAAGTGCAATCGCCGCAAATCTTGGTAATAAATATTTTTGAAGCATAAGTCGACTTATTAGTTAAATTAGTTAAGGGGTGACGAACCCATTTGCTGTCGCCGGCCACTTTATCAGTCACCGTGAGTGAGCAGGCCGCACAATTTTTAGTAGTACTACCGTATGATACCTGTTGATTTTCATCTACAAAACGAACAACGGCATCCATACAGCTGATGTAATTCAAATGTATAATGCAATATAAACGCTCGGCTCGGATGTTCGAGATCCGAATTTTCATTCGAATACCACAGCTTTTTTAGCACGAAAGTTTGAGTCTACAACCTGCGTATTAATGCAAAATCAATTTTTAATGTACTGATTAGAATAAATTGTAGTCTTTGATATTTTATAGCAGATCTAGGGATTTCTCGGACGTTGATATAAATATCTAGTGATAGAGACAGTCAGCGATGCAAGAACATCCTATTTGTAACTAACATAACTAATTCGTAACATCGCAAAAATATGAATTAAAACTAAATATAAATTGGCAGTTGGAAACACTTTTCATGGCCGTGGATCGATTTGATATGTCATTATAGTAATGTTCTAAATTTCTAGACGCAGCCGCATGTTACATTAAACACAGAATGAAAGTTAGAAAGCAATTAATTAAAAATACAACAACATAACATAACAGTAAAAAACATTATCCGTCGAAAAAGTGGGCTCTTTTCACAAGTGGCCTGCCTAACTGCGTCGACAGTTGCATAAAAATTTAGGGATTCGTTACACTTACCCTTTCCCAATGATAATATCAACCTACGTTATCGAATCTTCCTTCGTGACATTTTGTGTCGCGTTAATATGCAAAATTCTAGTTGATAATGCCTCAGAAAAGTATTTCGGGATCCTTTGTACAAAGATTCCATATAAAAAACCACCGCCTCCGCACAAAATTGAATGTAAATTATAAATAATTTAATTACATTTTTAGGGTGGACGGAGACTAAGAATCTAGGTTGCGTCGGAAATTCAAAACCTCAAATCTTTCCTGACCCGAACCCAACTGGATAGTTACTAACTTGTTATTTCAGTAGTTTTTTTTTTTTTAATTTCACATTTTTGCATTAGTGATGGAGGCTTTGTACAAAAGATCCGTATTTCGCAGACCTTCGGATACAAAAACAGTAAACGAATCCCTCTAATCACGATTAACTGATTTTTAAAATGTAGGCATTTTTTGAGATATACCATTGTTTTAATCATTGAGCAGAAGTTATAAACTTTTTATTACTTTCAAATATCACGTGTATCGTGCACAAAAATATCACATTTTCATAAAGTGAGATTACTCCTTCTCTATTAAACCGTATGCGTTTGCCGATAAGAGAGCGTAACTATGCTACGACAATGGCCATTTTGATCCATTGTTAGAAGTATCGATGATCCAAAAAAATAGATGTGTTGGAAATAGTGTTGTTGCCAGTAATATGAATACGGTAACACTTGCGCTTCCGGTCTCTCTGTACAGTTCTTGGAGGTTTGTGCCTTTACGCCAAACATAAACTGAATGCTTCGTGGGCCGCACGAAAGTCCTTGGCGGGCCGTATGCGACCCGCGGGCCGCAGGTTGGTCACCTCTGTAGTAGATAGGGTTGAACAGACAAATTCAGACTAAGTAGGGCTACCAACCGTCCCGGAATGGTCGGGACTGTGCCGGAATTGACCTCTGGCGTCTCGTGTCCCGGGCTGAGCTGAGCCAAGGCGTTCTAAAATAGAAGTCAATGTGAGCGTGTGGTCTTCGTTCGAAACTGGAAACGGAAAAACTTTAAAAAACCTAATCCAGTGAGATTTGGAGATTTCTTGAAAAAATTAGTCATTACAAGAAAAATATAAATTTAAATACCAGAAAGACAGATTTTTTGTTAAATAATTAAATCTATTATGCGGAAATTGTACATTTTCACTGTTTTAGTTTTCTTTTTGCATTTATGCCTCAAAGAGTCAACATTTCACAAGTTTCTTTGATTATGATAAAATTATTCACAGGCTTGAAGTTTTTGAAAATAACACTGTGCGATCATCAATCTTTGACACGCAGACTAAGGACTAGGACCCTAAGACTAGGTGTTTCGATGGCTCTTATTAAAAATGTTTACCGAGGAAAAAAACAATCCGGCTGGTTATAGCAATTTAAGAATTCAAATGATTTTTAAAAATAATCTGCTCTTTACGGGCGTGTACATGATATATAAATTAATAAGTATAAATTGCTGATTGTACTTTTATTTAACCTCATTAGGGCGCTAGGTTTTGTTCAATATTCTGGGGGTTTTGCTTCAAAGCTTCTTAAATTAAACCGGCCAGCTAAAAGTTGTATGTCGGGAACATATAATAATATCTAGACGAACATGAATTTTACATCAAAATTAATAAATGTCGGTATTACACCCCAAAATTCTCTACTTTTAAATATGTGCCCCACTTTTAGATAAGTTGTTTTTTTCTACTATTGGATTAAAAGAACGTAGATTTATTTGGGACGTGACTGAGAAGATTGACTGATTAGGTCTCATTCCGTGGGAAATTCATGAAGACAACTATTTGTTTGTTGTTATTTTATTTGTATTTCGTTATACGCACAATCTCGACGTGAAAAATGTTTTTGGAGTCGGAATAGGGCATTAGTGACGTTTACGTGATTCTCTCCGCAGGGTAAATAATTATATTCGGAATTGATGAGGTAATCGTCTTATTGAAAATCGCCTATGAATCTTATGCTACCTACGTAGACTATGTTCAGATGGTCGCCGGAACTTCACTTCATGTTGTCAGAGCTGGGCGTTATCTTCGGTATTTTAATACAAAAGCCTTGTAATTGTGTAGGTATACATAACCAAAAATGCTACTTTACCGCGACATTATTTTTTGCTTTTCTCGTAGCTATAGAAACAATACAGGGTAAAGTCCCTTTACAATTTCAATTTTGTTATGAAGTCAGTTCCTAATATAACTTAACCAGGTTTGTTGTTTTCTAATCATTAATTGTTCAAGTATTTTTACTTTATTTTATACATCTGTGGGGGCAAAATCTCTAAATGGCATTGATAAATTCCCTTTGCAATTTTGAAAAAGTTCAAGACTTTAT